TTGCTTTCCTTCCAGCATAGGAAAGATGTCTTTCACATGGGAATTTTATCTTCTGCTTTAAAGAAAGTGTGAAGGTTAGAGTGATATTCTTGCAACTGTTGTTTTTCAGTTGCCTTTAACTCAAAATTGTCAATATGCCAGAGTGGCATATCTGAGGGTGCCATATTCTTAATTCCTTCAAAATGAACCTAAGTGTGTGGATTGAAAATAGCAATAGCCTTGGGAACATTTCATTGATATGACTATTTACAAAGAAATTCCTTACCAGAAGATGAAAAATATGGGATAAACACTTTGGGAAACAAAATCCTAAAGCAAGATCTATTTGATCCTAAGCATTCAGAGACACATCGCAAGGCCAACCGGATTCTGGGTCCCCCTGCTTGGTGTGATTGTTAGTAGTAGTTCATGTCATAAATAAGATTTGGTCCAGACTTACCCTGACCTCTCAGTGATAGGGCAATGGTCATTAATCCTGGCTGCTTGATTGAATCACCTGGAACCTTCAAAAAATTCCTGATGCTCAGGGCTTACTTTTGATCAATTAAATGATAGTCTCTGGGAATAAGATGCACGCATCAGAACTTTAAAAATTCTCCCTGTGTGATCCTAATGGGCACCCACTGTTTAAAGCAAGGGTTTTCAAACTGTGTTCTGTGGAGTTCTAGGGTGATAACTGTAGAAGTAAGGCTGCTACTCTTCCAGACTCTTCCTCCAGATTCTTCCAGAGTTACCTCTCATTTTATCTCTTCTAAGTTTTTCAAATAAAATAAAATGTCATTTGAAAAAAATGGGGGAAACACTAGAGAGATTTGATAAAGGTTGGACAGTTTTGATTAAAACAAAGCCTACCCACCAGTTAGTCAGGATGGCTAACTTGTTGGGATGCAAACTACCTTGGGATAAGTAGGAAGAGAAGCTGCATTTTTGAGGACTTTCACTCCAAAGAAGATGGAAATTGATCAAACACCAGTTTGTAATCCTATACTTCTTTACTTCAAGCATAGGGTCAGTGAAACCCACTCATAGTCAGCCAACTGTTTAAGGAAGCAAGACTTTTTAAAACACTGATTACAATCCCTGATGTTTCCTCCATGACACAAAACCCCTGGGAGAAATAATCTTGTTTTATTGAAACCATTAGCAATCATTCCTGCAGAAGTACATCCCTTTCTGTTAAAATCTAGGAATAGGATATTGTTACAATGCAACTAGTCACCACTTTATAGGTTATGTACTCTGCCAAAGGATGCATACGTTAATATTTTTGAGTTACTGTTCTTAAGAAAAATTACTCAATATCATGAGTTTTTACTTTGCTTACTTGAATGATCCACTGAATGTAACTAGGTAAATTAATTCATTTTCCCTACTTTAATCTTAATCTTATTTTTCATTACAACTCAAAATTGGTAAAGATTTTTGTCTAGCACTGATGTGGCTGTAGGTTCAGAAAATTTGAAGTTGTAAAAATATAGCTAGTCAGACAGCTATGCCAACTCATATATTCCTAAATATCGCAAAGATATCTTGTGACAGCTGGTTGTTTGAAAAAGGATACAAATAAAGTCCACATGTCACATCTGGTTAATTGGTCTCATGTGTCTCTTTTAGTCTCTTTCTCTTATGTCATGGATCTATAAAAAAACTGAGTCACCTATAAAATAGAATCTCTTATTGTCCAGATTTATCTAGTTGCATTTTTATGGTGTTAACTGCCTTATTTTCTGTTGTTTCTATTTCCTATAGTTATATCTAAATACTTGATTAGGTTTAATTTTTTTTTAGGAGACAATATTTTACAGGTGGTATTGTGTACTTACTATTGCCTTTCATCACAAGGCACATAATATCTGATTGCCATTTTTAGGGATTTTAGAGATGCCAATATAGATGAGTGGCTTCAAGTTGTACAAGGCTTGATCCTGTCTTGCTTCTACCTAATAGTTTAGAATTCATTATTTATTGTCTAGATCCATTATGTTATTAGGGATTGCAAAATGTTTATCTACTAATTCTGAAAAGCTCTCCAAACAATAAAATAATCAGTAGAGAGATAATAAAATTCATATGCATAAAATACTAGCTTTTCACATACTCAGATGACAATCACTTAGAAGATATAATAGGAAAAAGAAACCACTTGCAATAATAAGAAAGAATAATACCTATAAATATAGTTTACAAGAAACACTCAAAACTTAGGTAAACTTTAAAATATTTCTAAAAGACAAAAGGTATCCTTGAATAAATGGAAAGGCACCCCAAGTTCTTGAGCAGATTGATACAATGTAATGAAGATGTCTAATTCAGTAGATCTGGGGTGGAGTCCAAGATTCTGAATTTCTTCAAGTCTGACTTTCCCAGAATGGCCTGCTCTGTGCTTTAGACTTACCCTGTATGCTTTGAATTTAGACATGAGACTAGCAACAAAGAAGCAGTCAAGCGTGAATGGCAGCCAGGTGCACAAAGCTTCATCTGTATTTACAGCCACTCCCCATCACTCGCATCACTGCCTGAGCTCTGCCTCCTCCTCCTCCTCTTCTGTGGAAAAATTGTCTCCCATGAAACCTGTCCCTGGTGCCAAAAATGTTGGGGACCACTGCTTTAGAGCAATTATTCTCAAAATGAAGTCCCTAGACCAATCGCATCAGCATCACCTGAGGACTTGTTAGAAATGCAGATTCTCTCGCCTCTCCCAGACCTATGGAATCAGACACTGTGGAGGTGGGATTCAGCAATCTGTATCTTAATAAGCCCTCCAGGTGATTTTGGTATGTGCTAAAGTTTGCAAACCGCTGCTCTCAAATTTAAGTGCTTCTCAAATTTAAGTTGCACAGGAATCAGCTAAGATTATATTAAACTGCAGACTTGATTCAACAGGTTTAGGATGGGATCTTATTCTGCATTTCTATCTGACAAGCTCCATCATGATGCTGATGTTGGTGGTCTGAAGACAAGAGAAACAAAACTTATGGATCAATCTGTTTCCAACTTAGTCAAGACCAACCTATCCTGTAACCCCCACTCTTATATTTTCCTAGATATTAATGACAAATAATAGCTTAATGTGTCACTCTTCCCAGTAATATATTTACTTTAAACAGACTTTAACCCACAGTAGTGTGTTCCTTTCCAACAAAATTTAACCAAAAATAATTAAAAGTAGATTCTTGGCTTTGGAGAGCTATTTTAGAGAGATATCTATTCGACATCTATCAAATCACGCCACAGATGACTTACTGGAACCTAAAGAAAAAGAAAACATTATTAATGAAAAGCCTATGCATAGGGAGACTCTTTGTATAAATGTTATGTATAAATATAATTTGCCTCTAATTTTTTCTTTTTATAAATTCTGAGTTTTGTGTGTTAGTGTTTATCTATTGCTTCATATTGCCCCCAAATTTAGTGGCTTAAAACAACATACATTTATTTAAGCTCATGATTTTCTTGGGTCAGGGCCTTGGACAGGACACAGTGGGAACTGCTCTACAAAGCCTGCAGCCTCAGGGCTCCCTGATTCTTCCACATGTCATGTGTACTGGGGCTGGAAGGTTTCAAGTGGCTTCTTCACTCACATGTCTGACACCTAAGCTAGAATGACTGTAATTGTTGCTGTTGGGGCCTCACTCTTTCTCTCAACTGGCTTAAGCTTAGGCTTCTTCAAGGCTTGGTGGTCTCTGGGTAATTGGACTTCTTACATTGTAGCTAGTTTTTACCAGATTGTTAAGCACTGCCAGAAACCAAGGCATAAGGTGCAACACTTGTTAGCAATTCAGCTTCACTTCTGCAATATTCTATTGGTTCTGTAATGTCAGATTCAAAGGGAGGAGAATAAGATTTTATCTCTCAGCTGGAGCCATTGAACCACATTTAATTTATCATATGTACTTATTAATTTGAGATGTTAACTTGACTGGATATAGGAATACCCAGACAGCTGGTAGAGCATTGTTCCTAGGTATGTCTGTGCCGGTGTTTCTGGATGAGATTGGCATTTGAATCAATAGGCTGAGTAAGGAAGATCTGCCCTCACCTAATGTGGGCGGTTACCATCCAACCCATTGAGGGTCTGGATAGAACAAAAAGGCAAAAGACAGGCAAATTTGCTTGTTCGCTCTCTTCTGGAGCTGGGACACCAATTTTCTCCTGCCCCTGGACTTGAGAAATCCAGGTTCTTCCACCTTCACCTCTAGGACTTGTGCCAGTGACACTACAGGTTCTCAGGCCTTCAGACTTGGACTGAGCCATTCCATCCACTTTTCTGGTTTTCTCACTTACAAATGGCATATTGTGGGTTTTCTCAGGCTCCATAATCAAGTCAGCCAATTCCCACGATAAATCCCCTCTTATAAATCTAAAACTGCAAAAACACTTTTATACCTGTACTACTTCAGAGAGTCCCCAGAACTTTAGTCAGGGCCAATTTACCCTACGATGGTCCGAATGTTTGTGCTCCCCCCCACCACAAAATTCATATGTTAAAATCCTCAAGATGATGGTATTAAGACGTGAGGTTTTTGAAAGGTAATTAGATCAGAAAGGTGGAACCTTCAGGAATGGAGTTAATGTCATTATAAAATATGCCTGAGGGAGCTTATTTGAACTTTCTACCTCATAAGGACACAGTGAGAAGTCAGCAGTCTGCAGCCTGGAGGACGGCTTTCACCAGAACCATGTTTGCACCCTGATCTTGACCTACCTAGCCCCCAGAACTGTGAGAAATAAATTTCTATTATTTATAAGGCCCCAAACTGTAACTTTTTCTTGTAGTAACCCAAACAGACTAAGGCATATCCACAGTGTAATATACACCACGCCTAGGGCCCACAATACTTGTAGGGCCCCACAGAAGTGTTTTTAACTTCTTTTAAAATCAGAAGGAAATAAATAAAGTTTTAGGTTTAAGAAAGTATTTTTGATATATAATATTAATATATTCATTTTTATATCAATGCAGTCATAAATATGTACATTTATATATATATTTATTTATTTATTATTACTATTTTGAATGTAGAAAGTGGTCCATGGAGACAAAAGTGCCCAGGGCCCACAAAAGTCATGACGTGGCCATGCCTCCAGAAACATGTTTTCAGTATACACTGAAAATGTGTGGAAAAACTGAGTTTTAGTCATCATATTCTTTCATTTTGAAAACTGAAGTCTTCCAATACCGAGGGAATGAATTTCAAAGTGAAGAATTTCATATATCCTTGAAAGGCAGTGGGATAGATTTACAGGACGAAGACTCCTGCTGACCACACAGCACATGTATCATGCAGGTTAATCTATGTTAAGAGTAACTTGCTTACACACAAGCCACTGCTTCTGCCCCCAGCTTCTGTGACCAATATTGACAGAGGCTGGCAGACCCGCTTTCATGAGTCTCTCTGTTGAGTGACAAAATCTCAGAACTTGGAGTGGCGTTTGAGCCTACTGAGCCCAACTCTCTGCCAATGCAAGAGCACCTTTGTCACCAGGCAGCTATCAATTTGAGCACATCCTGACATGCTGACCCTGCGCTTGAGAGCTTGAAAGCAGTTTCCTTTGTGTTACTGTCTTGTAAAAAAAAATGTAAGAAATACACAGGTTGCTGTTGATACGGTCAGAGGATCTCAGAGTGAGTGTACCACTCAACACCAGGAGTCAGTGATGGTGAATGAGCTACATATTGTGGGCAGAATCCACTAGGACCATTGACGTCTCATCCTCATCAGGGCTAAGTTCCAGACCCTTCTCCACCACCCTGTGGAGGGTGCTGTAGTGTTGCTGGCTCTGGTCGAAAGAATGCAGCTCTGAAGCAGCCTCCCAGGCGGCAAAAGTGGGCATGGGAATGACATCTGCCCTCTTGTTTTCAAAAAAGCATTTCAGGTTCCTCTCACTCAGCTTGTTGGCATATTCCAGAAATGTATTTTCCAATTGCTCCGTCTCCTTTTGTGCATATGTCTTCCAAAAACTCAGCTGAAGATAGCTAACTTTAGATCGGCAGCGAGCATAACAAATGGTGAGCAGGGAGAAGAAAGATGCTGAAACAATCAGGCACCATCCTAGAATCTTAGGAAAAAAGAAATATTGAGAACGTGTAAAAGCAAAGTGCCTTCTCAGGGAGCTGGGGTGGTATTATTGGGAAATGTATAGCTAAATTAATAACACAGTCATTGCCATACCTCATTTGAAATCATTCTTCTTAATTTTCAAGCATTTTCTTTAATAGCAAAAATGAAGATAAAGTTTACCTAATCTCTATTCTTTTACCTGACATTGCTGGTATGCAAAGAAATAACCAGAAGGCAGGCAACTGGAAAAGAACAAAAAGTATAGATTGTCCAAGAATTAGATACATCAAGCTCTCAAATAGTATTAACTGTTAAAAGGAAAGAACTCTGTGCATGAGAAAATGTGGTCATTTGAGCAAATGTCCAGTTCTTCAGTCAGGTGTTTTTAGGCATTGGTAAATGCAAATACATGGCCAGTAACCAATTTTTCTCATGTGATTTCGACTTTGTTTGCAGACAGCAGCAGACCCTCTCAAAAAGAAGTGTCATTACATACTGTCTATAGTAAAGGGAGACAGATATGGTACAGTAAGGAAGCTGAAGCTAGAAGAATTTAAAGCCTGAGAAAAGATTAGGGTCATTCATACTTTAAGAATTATTTGTTCTGAATTATTTGTTCAGAGAGGAGAAAAACTCCTCTCTGAATATGAATGGTTCAGCTATTTTTTTCTGAATTTTAACAGCAAAAGTTTAAATAGCTCAATTTATATTCTAATTTGTTTTGTTGTTCTGATTCTATTTTCATAATTAACTTTATGTTTGGACAACTAACAGATCTCTTTCAAAGTGTCTCTTGATATTTAGCTTAAATGTCCCTTAGTATTCCTTAGCAGATAGGCCCTATTTGGAAATAGAAACAATAATCTGCAAATGAACCCATTCAGACCATAACAAAACTGCAAATAAGCTTTAAATCACTGGTTCTCAACCTCTGGCTCAGACACAAAGTTATTATGAAGGGTTGCAGCCTCTGCAAAAATGCCAAGTCTGGATTGGCAGTACTTGGGTTTAAACTGCAACTTTTCCTTTACTATGGGTATCCTCTGGGCCTCAGTTTCTTTCTTTCTTTCTTTTTTTTTTTTTTTAGACAGAGTCTCACTTTGTTGCCCAGGTTAGAATGAGTGCCATGGCGTCAGCCTAGCTCACAGCAACCTCAAACTCCTGGGCTCAAGCAATCCTGCTGCCTCAGCCTCCCGAGTAGCTGGGACTACAGGCATGCGCCACCATGCCAGGCTAATTTTTTTCTATATTTATTAGTTGGCCAATTAATTTCTTTCTATTTATAGTAGAGACAGGGTCTCACTCTTGCTCAGGCTGGTTTCGAACTCCTGACCTCAAGCAGTCCGCCTGCCTCAGCCTCCCAGAGTGCTAGGATTACAAGGCGTGAGCCACCGCACCCGGACTCCTCAGTTTCTTCAGTTATAAAATGGGGTTTACATACCTAGGGAGGTAATTTTAGAGATATAATGAAATGATCCTGGACACACATATGCATGCAGTGAGTTTTAGCTATTATGGCAAGCTGCTATTTTTCAAGTATATACACAATATTTTATGTGAAAGCATTACTGAACTCATAATATCTTTCTGTACTTATTAATGAATGAGGCACAAATACCATCACGTGGAAGCCCTCCTATTTCCCTGTAATCACTTGTGGTTGGCTACCCCAGATCTTCCTCTTTTCTTCATTGTTTACCTTCCTCCTTCCCCACACCTGGGCCTCCTGGAAATCATCTCCCCTCAGTACCTGAGCCAATTCCAGCTGAGTTATAAACTATTTGATCAGCTTCAGACCCCCTTTCTCGTTTCTCATGACCTTAGCATTCACTTGCCCTCACCTGAGAGCCGAGCAGCAAGTGCTCTTGTTCCCCCCACAAATTCGCAGCACACAGAGTTGAACTAGAACATGATGAGTATTCCTTCCCCAACCCTCAATTAATAGTGTCCTGTTTTGCATGAGTCTTCTCCCCCAAATCCTGAAAGTTTTCCTCACCAACTTGAAACACCTACAATGTATCAGAAGCTTTATGCCCATTTATTTTTATTATCTCTGAACATTCCAACAACTCTCCAAGGTAGATGTTTTTACCCACAACTATGAGAAAACTGAACTCAGAGAGGTCAAACCACTATCTCTCAGTCACATGGCTGATGAGTCATCAGGATTCAAACCCATGGCCAGCCAATTCAAAGGCTGAGCTCTTTCCACTACTCCAATTACCTTTTTAAGAACGGAGAGTCATCCGGCTGGATTTCTTGTTTCCCTGCCCCACCTATGGATGAATGTACCTTTTCCACCCTCACCCACATGCCCAACTATTGGTCTGGACTATAGGTTGCCTCCTGCCTGCCTGAACCTCTGCGGTCAGCACCTGCTAGTGATGCAATGCCAGCTCCTCTTGTCCACATCCCTCATGCATCCTCCCATGGGAATCAGCCCCAGGTCCTTCTCATTCTGATGAGAAGTCAACAGGGCAGGATGCCCAGTCTAAGCTATGACAGGATGTGCATAATTTCCTTGTGCCTGTGTTTAGAGAAGCTTGCACAGTGATAAGTGTCTGGACCTGGCACTAACTGAATGGAACCTGGTGCCTTAGGACATAGACCATAAGTCATTCACTCTGCCATAACATTCGTAATTTATATCTTCCTTTAACAAAAGACGCAAGACATTTGGGAGCCTGTTATGTTTTATCTGAGATATGCTTTACACATCAAATGAAAGACTTTGTTTGGGGGCTTATCAGTTTATGAACAGTGTAACTTTACTGCTAACTAGCTTTGGGATGCATGATTTTAAAAACAGACTTTGCCTTGATGCACTGTTATAAATCCTTGTTGAAAAAAGTAAAATTATACTATTTCAGTGCATTTATTCTGAAACAAATAGCATTCCTGACAAACTGTGGATCTGTTTATTTACTCTTACTGCTTGTTTTGATTTTGGGAAGGCAATTCCTACTACTCATAAGCAGGAAGTCAGTCTTTCCCTAAGGCTGTGCATCTGGCTTTGTGTTCGTGTACCTGGAGAGATGACAAGCTACTTCCCTGCATCAATGAAGTAAAGCTATGATTTTCTTCTGTTAAATAAAACAAAGCCCCAAATCTTGAGCTTCTGAGGTAATGTAAGAACTTTCTTAGCTTCCCAGCACAAAGAGTATAAGACATAATCTCCCTAGAGAATACAGTCACTTTTCACTGAAGGCTATTTAAAGACTGCTGATTCCTACTTTATATGGGAAATTCTTCTCAGTCTTGACAGTAATTATACACAGAGATAGCAGTTGCCACAAATCATTCAAAGGAATCTCTACACTAATTACATTACATACAACTTTAAAAAGTATTAACTCATTTGGTTCAGCTATAATTTAATAGATGAACAACGTATGTTTATGTTTCTCTCAGAAACCAGTTTGAAAATAAATAATTGAGAGAAGGCAGTAATTTCTAATTACCGCTTTGCCATTAACACTCATTGTATGATTTAGTGTTATGCATTATTTATTTATAAAGTCAACCCAAAGAGATTGTTTTAAAGTACTTAAATATTTACATATGCATAATCCAGAGGATATGTTCTTTTTGGAAATGGAAAATACATAAAGCAATCAGCAATTTTCTGAGCCATCCAGCCTCCAAAAAGCTTTTCCTCGGATAGTCGTAATGCTGCATCATGTTCCAATTTCCATTTAGTTTGCAAATATTCTGGCAGTACTCAGACTCAGCCCTGGCTGAGAGGAGGGCAAAGAGAATACTTCAGGCTCACACTGGGAGAAAAAGGTGAGTTTGTCCTTTCTTACCTGAGACTGTGCCTGAAGGGACAGTTTCAATTCTTCATTGTCCGTGGATAGCATTTTGCCACAAGGTACTTTGTGAAGCTCTTCCCAGCACACTTTAGGCTTGCCTTTACAAATCATTCCCAGGATTCTTGGACTTTTCGTCCCGCTCATGGCACATTCATAAAAAGTTCCATTGAGCAGAGCCACAGCCAGCCACATCACGGGAGCCACCAATGAGCTCAGAGTGATCTGACCAAGGACGTAGAAGAAGCGGCAGCAGTGGCCTCTGGGGAAGATTTTCCTGGGATTCACACAGCAGCCTGTGAAGAGTCTCCATGACTTGTTGCTCAGAAAGAATCCCAGGATTAGTAACACCCAGGCAGGAGCGAAGAGGAACACCATCCCATAGACCATATTCTCAGAGCTGCAGGGGCACTTAAAGGCTATGACTGAAAAGAGACGCTCACTTCCCACGGTCAGCAGAGCCATGAAACTGTAGCCAATAGCAGTTTTCTGGTTAAGGAAGAATTTTAAAATGCCCTGAAAAGCATCCATGTTGTAGATGCTCAAAGAGGGACACTGCTTTGTCCTTGTTTTCGATGGAGCAGCTGTGGCAGTGGCTGAGGGTGGAGCTCTTTATTAGAAACAGCAGTCCTCCTTCAGAGACTGAATTCAGCCAGATAAGGAAACAATGTCATTCCCTAGGAATGAATATTTCCCAACAGTGCACAGATAATGCCTCCTACTGGTGAATATTGGGCCACAATACTGCAGCCTAAATGCTGAGAATTGAGAAAATTCAAAGTGCGCAGACTTCATTTTTACATTCTTTCCATGTGGCTTGGATTGAAAATCAGAAAGAAATTCTCACCTGTACAAATAAGGGCTGAGGAATTTCCCAGCATGAGGAATCAGCATTAGCAGAAAGGGGTTTCAGAAAATTGATTGGGAGCCAAATCAAATCTCCAAACCTAGAATTTCATGATTTTTTCTCTCTTGCCATGTAACTTAAGATTCAGAAGACAGGGATTCATTTTATATCTTCTAAAATTGGCTAGAGTCAGAGACTTGAACCAAATTTTAGGATTTGGGAAATCTGAATTTTATATGGAAAAGTTTAGGGAGGGTTTGTTTTGAAGGATTCTCTTCATTTCTTTCCTAGGCTATTATAGCAAACTTTTCATTAGTCTCTCCCATTTGACCTCATGCATTAGCCTGTTCATACCTTTGGGGCTCCCCACCGTACACAAGTTGTTAGATATAGACCTACCCTGAACCCAATCATTGTATTTCTTTTTTGTTTTTGTTGAGACAAAGTCTCACTCTTTTGCCTGGGCTAGAATGCTGTGGTGTCAGCCTAGCTCACAGCAACCTCAAACACCTGTGTTCAAGAGATCCTCCTGCCTCAGCCTCCTTGGTAGCAGGGACTACAGGCATGCACCACCATGGCCAGCTAATTTTTTCTATTTCTAGTTGTTTGGCTACTTTATGTCTATTTTTAGTAGAGACAAGGTCTTGCTCTTGCTCAGGCTGGTCTCGAACTCCTGAGCTCAAGCAATCCTCCTACCTCTGCTCCCAGAGTGCTAAGATTACAGGTGTGAGCCACCACGCCCAGCCTGGATCATTGTATTTCAAGTCTGTGACAGGTGCCCACTACATAGAATCTCTTTGCCCCACCTCCCCCTAGACCTTGTCCACCTGGCAAACACTCCCTCAATATTCATGCATTCTGAGTCTAAAAATGGTATAAAACACAGAATGGAGGCACACTCAATAATTTGTTTTGCAAATGACTATTGAGCTCCCAGTATGTGCCAGGCACTGCACTAGACAGGCAGTGCTCAGTAAGGACCAGTTAGTTGAATGAATGAATGAGGAACCTCTTAGACATTCTAATTCTAAATAATTTAAGAAAATTATTTTCATTTATCTACACCACCTACACTGCTCTTGATTTTAAAAATTAAATTAATTAAGGCATTTAAAAGCGACAAGGTATCAAACTGACAAATTTCATGAATAAACTTCAAGGTCCAGGCCTGTGTGTTTTATAAAAAGAAATTGCCCTGGACAGGAAGCCAAGGAACTAAGTTACAGAATGGCGTTATCATTTTACTTCTCTCAACATCAATTTACTCATTTGCAAAACTAGGTATTTAAAAGAAAGAGTGTCCAAGATTTCTTCCATTCCTACATTGTAAAATTCTTTAAAACAGTGGACAGTCCTTGTAAAACAGTGGACTTTTTTGAGAAGTTACTTTATTATTCTATTATTCACTACCCCTTGCTCCTTCTCAGAGACTTGTCATCTGTAGTAGAGTAGTCCCCAGTTATCCACAAGGTAAAATTGAAAACAAGACCCCCAGTGGATACGTGAAACCGCGGGTAGTACCAAACCCTATAAATAACCTGTGTTTTTTGATTAGGTAAAGGAGGAGCTACGAACTGACTCATGGGCAGGTAGCATGGATACAATGGACAAGGGGATGATTCATGTTCTGGGTAGGACAAAGCAGGACAGCGAGAGATTTCATCACAATATTCAGAAGCACAATTTAAAACTTATAAATTGTTAATTTATGCAATTTTCCACTTAATATTTTCAGACTGCAGGTATGTTTGACAATATGTTTGAGTGCAGGTAACTGAAACCTTGGATAAAGGGAGATTACTATAATGTGATTCCCTCAATTTCCCCAAACACACTCTTGGGTCTAATCTGTTCATCTGCTCTGACCATCACCTTATCATTGTGGCAAATGAGTCCTGATCCCTTCTAATTCAGGATTTAATCCTTTGCTAGGATCAGTGTGACAAATATCATACTGACATATTGATGGTTAATAACATTTTAATGTCTTACCCTCCTGAAGAATATGTATCTTAAAAAATTTTTTTTGAAAATAGTGCCTTAATGCTGTTTTTTATAAACCATATTTTTCCCACAGAAAACTAGTTTCTTATGATGTTCCATAAAAATAAAAGGACTCAAGACTTTCACTTGTCATTGGGGTAATAAATTGCAAAGCTAAGTGTGAACCCAGGCTCCCTGACTACAGACTCTGTGTGCTTAACCACTGCATGCAATGCCTGTTAACAGGGTATTTGGTTTCTCTACTAATAGATATCTTTTCTAGTTCTAGTTCTATCAAATTTTGTTCTCCTTTTTTTCCAGGTTGCCTTCAAGATGTACTTGGGAATTACACCCAGTGTGATCTGTAATAATTCAAGCAGAAATGAATTTTCCCTAATTCTAGACAAGAATCCTCTGGTGGAGTTTGTGGAAGAGCTCCCTGCTGGGCGATCTTCTCTGTGCTACTGCAACTTGCTCTGTGGGATTATCAGAGGTGCCCTGGAAATGGTAACGTGCATCATTCATTTTGCTGAGTATATTAGTTATCTGGTGCTGTGTAACAAATTACCCCAAAATATAGTAGCTTCAAACAACAGACATGTATTATTTCACACATTTTCTGAGGACCAGAAATCTGTGAGCAGCTTAGCTGGGTGGTTGTGGCTCAGAGTCTTTCTTTACTTCAGAGCAGTCTTTGACTACTTAATATATGTGAAGTCACGCTCTTGGCCGGGGCTTAGCATCTGAGAACTTGACTGAGGCTTAAGAACCTACTTCCAAGCTCACTCACACAGCCTCAGTGCCTTGCTGGCAGTCGGCTAGAGGCTTCATGAAGGTCCTGGCCGCATAGACACCTTTGTAGCTGTAATCATGGCAAGGCAGCTTGTGCTGCTGACACTGGTACAATGTTCATGGGGACTGCCTGAGGGCATGAATAACAGGAGGTGGGGGTTGTTGCAGGCCATTTTGGAGGCTGGCTTCTACACCTGAATTATCCATTGGCTTAATTAAAACAATTATTAGTATCTGCTCAGTGTCAGGCACTGAGCATGCAAAGATGAACAAGACATAGTCGCTGCTCTTAAAGAATCTTATGTCAAATAGAAAAATAAGATATGTAAAGAAGTATAACTGAGGTGATATAACTGAGAAGTATAACTGAGAAGTATAAATGGGAGGACCTGAGGTAGGAAAGTCTTCCAAGAGAAACTCTGAACTGGCTGTTGAAGGAGAAATAAGAGGTAGGTAAAGGCCTTCAGTAAGGGGAGCAGGGGAAAATATTAATAATATTCCAGGTAGGAGGATCAGCATGTCCAAAGACACAAAAAGAATGTTTCATTCAAGGAACAAGGAACTTGAATTAGTTCAGTATGACTGATATGTACATTGTCACAAGAAAGGAGATTTAATAGTCTTTACAGAAGCCTGATGAAAGAAGGGATTCATATGACAAGCTTGGGAATTCAGATTTTATATTAAAGGCAACAGAAAGTCAATATAGGTTTATAAAGAGAGGAACAATATTTTGAAACTTGTGTTTTAGGAATTTCATTTCTCTATCAGCCAAGTGAAAGTATACAAGAGGGAACAGGAGTGAAGGAAGAGAGGAGAGCAGTCAGGAAGCTGACGGTGGTAACCTCACGTAAAACCAGGAGGGAACCGTGCTCCCTGACAGTCAGAGTGGAGAGGAGAAGACTGATTTGAACGACATACAGAAGGCAGAACAGATAAGACAAAGTTATGAATTGACTGCAAGGGACAAGATTGGGGAAAAGATTCAGACATGACTTTTAGGTTTCTGAGCACCTTGTAGTGATGGTTGTGCTATTAACCAAGACAGCAAAGCCAAGAAGAGTACATTTGGGCTTGGGAAAAACAAAATGAAGAGCTTGATGTTGAACCTGCTGGGGTTGAGCTGTCTAACACACACACAAGTGAGGATGTCCAGCAAGCAGTTGTTTGTACCTGTCTGGGGCTCACAGAGAGATGTAGAAGAAGAGGCATTGGCACTGGTGAAGAATGCTGAGGGACACTCCATAGAGCACGAAGAAAAGGGAGTCACCGATACAGCCCTAGGAAGCAACAAAATATAATGAGTAGTTAAACAGAGAACACAAAGGTTGCAAAAAATAATAAGAAGGAATAATCAGAGGTAGGAAAAATAACAGGAAAGGAGTCCTAGAAACAAAGGAGGAGAGTATTTCAAGAAGGAGTGATTAACAGTATCAAGTACAGCACAATCTAATTAAAACAAGACCTGGAAAATATTCAGAACATTTAAGGACCAAAAGATGAAGGAGGGCCGTGGTAAAAGCTGTTTCAAGAAAGTGGAGGGAGAAGACAACAATTTGTCATTTTAGGAAGAGGTAACAGTCAACAAAATCTCATTTTTACAGAAGCTTAGCTATTAAGAATGTTGGGACCAGATACTAACCAAGGTCTAGACAAGTATTGACCTACCCAGTAATAAAGCATGCATGTATTTTTTAATTATTTGTGATAACAAGGAGAAGGATAGAGTAACAGGTAATCCAAAAGTGTAAGACAATAATGTATTATCACACAGATCCTCTAGGCTTCTATGTTAGCATATTTTTAGGCTTATCCTATGGTCAGTGGCCATAAGATCAAAAAAGGGGAAGGGAAGAGTTCTGGGAGTTCAGGGGCAAAGGGAGAAATCACAAAACTGAGTCAAAAATTGGGTAATGAACTCTCCAGCTTTCATGGATAACGGTTGATTATACATGCTGAATGACAGGTATCAGACCTCGTGTGGCCCCGGATATTCAAATAGCTTCAACACAGTCTCCTTGTTATTTTAATCAATTTTCTGTTAAATTTGAACAAAGATTTAAAAA